AGAACAAGGTATATTTAATGAGCAGGTATAAAATCCGTACTAATCTGAAAGCTGATTAAGTATTGCAGACCGGCCTCTAAGCAGATGGGCTATCTCAGCTGACTCAGAGAATATGGAACACGATTTTAAGGTGGAAGAAGCTGCCTTTATATCCAGTGTTCACTTTCGATGAATTTTATGAGGTCTGAACTCAGGTTCTGAAATGATTAAACCTTACTAAATGAGATTAGGAGATTATTACGTTGTCACTCTGAGTGGAGAAGTGGCTGCATAGACCAAACTTGCCCCTCCTGCATGCTGTCTCCCCTCTGTGCCCTCCCTTCTTGGGTTGTTTCTCCTCCTGGGGTCCTTATTCTTCTACTGCAGAGGGCAGGAATGCCCTCGAGCTTTGTAATTCAAAATGAGGTCCTCTGACCAGCTGCATGAGCATCTCTGTGGATGGAGCATGTTACAATGACAGGATCTCAGACTCAACCCAAGACTTAAGAAATCAGAATCTTCATTTTATTTATATTTATTTATTTATTTATTTATTTATTTATTTATTTATTTATTCATTCATTCATTCATTCATTCATTTATTTATCTATCTATTTATTTATTTATTTTTATTTACTTATTTATTTTAGAATCTTCATTTTAACCAGACTTTCGAGTGACTCCTTTGCGCATGACAGTTTGAGAACTTCTCTATATCAGTAGCTCAAGATATGAGTAACAGCAAGCCTTTCAGATGAACTCCCCACTGTTAATCCCCCTTGGGTATCGTGTGAACGTATTTCAGAAAAACACTCTGTGGTTTTTATATGGGGTTCCATAGAACCGAATGTAGTCTTAAAGGTAACGCAAAGATTTGGCTTGAATTTTATTTGAAACCCTCTCTTTTAACTCTTCAGCACTTTATGTAGAGAACAAAAAGAAGGCACTTTCACAGTGTTTTGAAGACCTCCATTGCCTTCAGTTAGGCTGTCACGGTAACATCCTTTAGATTTGAAGTAAAATATCTTCTGCTGCCGTCTCTGTTTACGTAGTATCTACAAAAGTGGGCTGTGAGAACAAATCTGGTGCCATTCACAGTTTCTTATATCCGGGAATACCATTTTTCTCAATTGCTTTGCAATTAAAATCAACTACAGAAATAAAAGAGACACTCTGGGTAAAATAAAACTGCAAGTGTGACCCATAACGCTGCCTAGAACCGTTAGATGCAGCCAAACAGCCACTCTGTTCATTGTATTTGATTTTATATTAAGTAATTGTTATATTTGTGACTTTCAGATGTTAGCTTTTATTTGTTTTACCTATTGTGGTATAAGTCAGTTTCATGTGGAAACAAAAATGCATTCTGATTCTAAAGCATTTTGGAAAGCATTGCTCACAACTGGAAGGATGATTCCAGCTGAAAAGAGCCTCCGATGCCTGGGCTATCTGGGGACAGAGTTATTTGGAAGCATCACTTCTGGAGCCCTTTGATCACATCAATTTGACACCTGCCAACTTCTGCCCTGCATAATCCTGATCCTGCTCAATAGTTCTCAAGTAGCCACAGTGAGGGCCATTGGGATTCAAGTTTGATGCGACTCAAACTTCCAAGCCAGGACCTGCTGTCAAACAAACTGTACATTTGGTAGTTTACTGGAGCAAGAGTCTGGATTTAAGACTAAAATCATATGTAATACTAATCCATACTTTTTGCAATTAAAGGGATGTTTTCTCCAAACTTCCTTCAGTCCCTTGGTAAAACTTTATGGCCATCACAATGCTCCAGTGCTTCAGTGGATCAGCCAGCAGGCTCTTACTGAGGGTGGACGAGGCACCTGTCATGCTAAGAACCATTAAGATAAAAACCCCTAAATGCAGAGTCTCACGGTTTAGAAGAGACAAGATGCTCAAGCAAATAATTACTAAACGTGATAACAGAGTACAGGACCTATGCAAACGGTTTTATGGGAGCATGGGAGAAGCAATAAACAGGAAGTAAGAAGAAAGATTAATTCACATTTTGTTTTGCTTGGTGACTGCTCCCAACATTTAAAAATATATATATAGTCATGAGGGATTAGGGTTCGAAATTACATTTGAACCGATTCCACTTGGAAATAAAACACACACACACACACACACACACACAAAGAAATAAAACACCTCTCCCCATTAAGAACTAAATGCCAGTAATCGGCATAAGGATAATGTCCGTTTCAAAACTACAAATTATAGGGAACAGGCATTAAAAAATAAAATATTAAAATCCCACTGAAATAAAAGATCACTTTTAAAGAAATCCTTAATACTGAATTTTAGGAGTTCGCAGTCAATCTCACTTGATGGTTATATGCTTCTCATGTGTGTGTAAGTACACAGTAGTCTTTTTTTTTTTATCATTGAGAGGTGGATTTTCTGCTTTGTGCATTATTTAGAGCACATTTAGATTCCAACCTGGTTTTCCCTTGCAACTCAGTACACTTCTGCACTCCTTCCCCCTGAATTAATTGATATAATGAGCTGATGTAAATTACTTTCACTATTAGGCTGAGCTAATATTAACCCACAACCATTTAGAAAGTAAATATACCACATAAAGGCATATACATACTGAATTCCGAACTGAAGTCTCGAGGATTTTTTTTTTTTTTTTTTTTTTTTTTTTGGTTTGCCACAATTTTGGAGCATCTGTCCCATTGCTTCATCCCATGATCTGGAGAATCAGGACGGTGGGTAGGAATTCTGCAGAGGGGCCTGTGCCTGGGTGCCTGTGCCTTGGACAGGAGGGCATGGTTCTGCCCCCCTGTCATTGCTTTCTCACTCTCCCTGCTGGGAACATTTCCAACATGTTAATTATAAAAATGCAGCTCTCCTTTTGAGTCCCTGGGGAAATGCTCTAAACTTTTTACTTATTTATATTCTATTGATAGCTACTCTACTATCCATATTCCTGTAGCCTTTCCTATTCCTTTGATGAGTCATCAAACTCTGCCTGATGGTATATTTTGTGTGACTCTTACCTCCCACCTCCACCCAGGTTAGAAGATCTTTGGAGAAGGACCCTCTGAGTAGCCTTGATAACACCAAGTTCAAATTCTCATGGAATATAAGTGCCTTTTTACCATAGAGTGGATTTTTCACCCCACTCTGTGATAATCCAACACTGTGCCTTTGCTTGTGTTGTATTTTTCCTATAATAACGCTCTTCCTCTCTGTTTCTTCTCTTATAATCCTGTCTGGTCATTGAGGCTCTACTTGAAAGCTTTATGGTGTGCCCAGAATCTACATATGATCCCTCATGTGTAACTCCATTGTGCATTATTTGCCCTTGATTATGGCACGTCTCATTTCCACCTCACATGATAGTTTTCACATCTGCAGAATATTTACTTTTGTTGGCTGTAGAAGTCTTGCAATCTTACTCATCTTCTGCTTCCCGTGGTGTTGTGCACATAGCAAGTGTTCAACAAATGTCTGTTGCGTGAGTAAAGGTTTGCAAGGAGTTGTAGAGGAGCAGCGTTCCTATGTGTGACTCGGAGGTTCCATGACAAAGGGGAGTGTGACTGATGGTAAATCAAGAATGAGGGTTGGCACATGTTGTCTCTGAAGCAATTCCTCCCAAATTTTGCAGAGGGAGGCTACCAGGGCATTATGACTAAGGGATCCCCTGCAGTATGCATCTCTTATCAATCGATTGCCTGTGGCCCACTATTATAGATGCTACTGTTTTATTTATTTTTATCTTTTTAAAGATTTTATTTATTTGAGAGAGAGAGATAGCGCACAAGCTGAGGGAAGGCCAGAGGGAGAGGGAGAAGCAGACCCCCTGCTGAGGAGGGAGCATGATGCGGAACTCAATCCCAGGCCCCTGAGATCATGACCTGAGCTGAAGGCAGACACCCAACTGACTGAGTCACCCAGATGCCCCACTGTTTTAATCTGGGTGGACATTTCCGTTTTACAGATTTTTTTATTAAAATCTTGAAATCTTTTGTGAATGTTAATTCTTAACAATACTTTTATCAGTGAGCCTCTTTACCAGGACTATAAAGAATCAGGTTGTGGGTAAGTGGCAGAGCGGAATTGGTAGGAGAAATAAGGGGATAGGACCAGGAAAAAGGGAAGAATCTGCAGTTGAAACAAGAGTGTTTCTGAACAGACTTCAACCTCATTGTTGTGAGGGTATAGGCAAGCGATCAAATTGTGCCCTGGAAGCTATGGTCCAGATATTCATGGCTCCCATATGTTGCCCCTCTGTTTCCTTCCTATTAATTATCTAGTTTATGAGCATTACCTCCAAACCTCAAAACTACTTATCAGATAGCTAAAATTACTCCATTTTTAAAATGAGAAACTGATATTGGGAAAGGTTAAACTACAGAGCCACAGTTGGTTACATAGTAAATAGAAAAACAAAGATTTGAACACAAAACTTGCATTTTTCCTCTATATTATTCTTGGTGCTGCTTTGGGTAGATAACCTGGCTTGCGTTGCCCAGCGGGGCATATGGGGAGACATACAGAAGGCTTAAAAATATTTTCTTGTAAGACAAATATATTCTCATTCCTGTTGCCGTGACATTTCAAAAACTCAAATTGCTGTGAAAAACTCAGTGTTACCCCTTTCTGACTCGGTATTGGCCTTGTTAAAGAATAGGGTGGGAAATAAAATGGCTGATCTTCCATCTTTACCAGGAAGAAATTCAGCTAGTGCCTTTGTTTTTGTGGAAAGGCAAAACAAAATGAATCTGTGATATGCAAATGAGCCTCTCCACTGTTTGTTAATTTCTACTGTTTACTCAAAAATGGGAAACACCAGGCTTGTGATACATCATCTTTTGTGCGCTTGGCACCTTCCATCATGGATCATATTAATCTGCTTAAACTAACAAGGATTAATTGCCTTAGTAAGTCAACCTGGCATTGAAATGATATATTGCCCAGACAGCTTGGAATTTGGCCACTCATAAATCTCATTCGTGTGTTGGTTTATTTCTGTTTGTCTCTTTCTCTGACAGATGTGTGCCCAATCACTGTGAGCATGGCGGGAAGTGCTCGCAAACGTGGCACAGCTTCCAGTGCACTTGTGAGGAGACGGGATACAGTGGGGCCACCTGCCACAACTGTGAGTGCCCATTCCTCTCACCCTCCCCTTTAATCGCCCAGACCCCAGGTCTTCAGCAACCTGGGAAATGCACCCTCTAATCACTTGATTCTAAAGAACCCAGATTTTGTTGTTGCTTCCTCAGAACAGTACTGTAGTTGTCAAGATATATTCCCGCGTGCCTAATGACCCAAAAAGAAGGACCAATGTCCCATAAACATGGTTGGGATTGGAATGCTGAGCTTGGATTTGCCTCTGTGTGTCTATGCCATGTCTGGATAGATTGTTTGGAATTTTGTTTTAGTTATAATGTCTCCAATTGGATTCTCATTTATCAGCTCATCCGAGAGACAGAGTGTAATTTGAACATTTAGTGTCTGGACAATAATTGTCTCATGCTCTATCATAACTATTCGGTCACATTTTTCAACTCAGAAAAATAAGTTAGAAAGTAAAGTCCATTAAGTTGTTATATCTAAAATAATAACACCAGAAGGCAAGTGTTTCTAAATATTGAAAGTAAAAAGTGGCACGCAAAGAGGATTAATAAAACACAGATGTGCCTTGTTTTACATAACAGATTTATAATGAAAAGTTAACGTTTATATTTTTGTAATTCAAAGAATATTTTAAGTGAATGTTAACTCTGTAGTTGTCACGTTAACTTTCCAAAAATTCATGGTCGTTTACAAAGCCCTTTTGGAAATAGATTTGCCATAAAACGTATAGTTGAAAGAAGCAGCTCATCGTGTGTGTGTGTGTGTGTGTGTGTGTGTGTGTGCACGGTGTGTCTGCATGCATGTGTGTGCACGCATGTGTATGCATATGTGTGTAGGGAGAGAGGAAGGGTGAGGGAAAGAGAAAGAGATCCAATTTTCAGTCTCCTCCCAATATGCTGGAAAACTGAAAATCTAATATCTAAACCCTATAATTATACAGATTTCTTTCATTCACTTCATTTTTAGGAAACAATACAAAAATATTACCAGAGAAGCATTCTGGGGATAATAAAAATGTAGTACAGCCCTCTGAGCCTTTCATATAGTTACTTGCAGCAATGCACAATAAAAAACTGTGTTTGGAATATAAGACCTCAACAAAGAAAAACGTTTGTAATTTATTGCATTTATTTTGGTTAGGAAGGTGTTTAAAAACAAGAGACAAAAACGCTCCTTAAAAAGTTAACAGTAATAGAAGATGTATAAGAAAATAAAAATAGGCACTAGATTAATTTTTGGAAAAGTATTTCCATACGGGAATGTGAAGAAGTATTTTAAGGAGTGAAAAACTAAACTGATACTGAAATTAGTGGAATAAAGGTATCATAACTAAAGTTGCTCCTTGCCAATCGCATCAAAATGTTAACTTTCAGCCTGTAATAGTCATTATATGATAAATGGTGTTTGGATTAGGTGACCTAGATAAAATTTCAAACCTTCACTCCACCAATGTAATTTATATATTGTGCTACAACTACCACCTTTAATGATTAGAGATCTTGTTCCTGAATATGAAAATTCTAACCAAGGACAAAGAACAAAAAAATTGGTGCTGGTTACAAGGGTTTCCTAACTCAGTGCCCACTCAATATTGAATTGAAAAAGCAAACTATTCTTTTATTTTCATAACTGCTTCCTTCATTTAAATACACAGCAAAGAAAAATAAATTATAAGAATATTAAATTTGTTTTAAATTTAAATACATGCTAGTGGCTGAATAGTTGAGTTATTGGGGGTTTTGTTTGTTTGTTTGTTTTTTAAAGAGTAACAACTCCAACTATTAGAAATGCTCTCAGAATACTTAGGTTTGACCCTAGTGGCAATCTCTAAATGTAAAAAAGGGATATTATCTCCTCCCTTGTGCTCATTCCTACCTGTTCAGTGTTCTACTTTTGTTTAAAATTCATTTTAACATAGAAAGCCTGATCTCTTGTTGTCTTCTCTGAGTGAGGCCAAAATCTCAAAAATCACGTGTGTGCATAAAGAGAGATTAGAGGGCCATGGTGCATAATTAAAGGCTTCAGTGACATTAATTGGGTGTGAGAAAATATTTACCTTGTAGCTTATTGAAGGGTATATGCTTCCAAATAAACTGAAAGATATGATATACCGCTCAGTTACTCCCATGGATGAGTTAAAAATTGGGAGGGGGGGTCTGGTCCAGCATATATTAATGAAAAAAATATAATATACGCCATTCAACTTGATACAGAACGAACAATATTGCACTTTAACTTAGTGACTGCATGCATAGCAAGAGCATTGAAGTAAGAAGAAATTGCTTCTGATGCTGGCTATGAGGTTATCATGCTGGGTGCCTTTGTAGCAAGTCATTTGACTTCTCGTGGACTTCCTTTATTCCTCTTGATGAAATGGCTACTGAGGTCTCTTATAGTTCTAAAAGCCAGTGAGCTGAGACTTCCAATTGTTTTTTTTTGTGTGCTCTGGTTTTGAATTTTGTTAGCGTTATTAAATATTTTGCCTCATTATTCCCAGCAGAGGACCAAGGATCCCTTTAGAAGAAAAAAAAAAAAAAGAGGAGTTATGGTCATTTTATAATGGTACTACTTTAAAAAGGTAAAAAACAGCTAACTAAAACATAGAGCTTGGCATAAGTAAATATTTCCTAGAGCTTTAAACATTGCAATTAAGCTACTATTTCCGGGAATCCCTGGATGGCTCAGCGGTTTAGCGCCTGCCTTTGGCCCAGGGCTCGATTCTGGAGTCCTGGGATCGAGTCCCACGTCAGGCTCCCAGCATGGAGCCTGCTTCTCCATCCTCCTGTGTCTCTGCCCGCCCCCTCTATGTCTGTCATAAATAAATCTTAAAAAAAAAAAAAGCTACTATTTCCATACATTTTCTACTCTGGTCCTTCTTGGTCAAGGTAAGATAGCTATTTCTCAGGAGAGGGATGATCATCCAGGCTAGCAGCTGGAGTCCAAGATGGAACTAGGAAGCCCTTTTTTTGATAGTTCACACCGCCTGAGTTTGAACTTGGCCCTGTCGCTTACCCGTAACCTTGGGCTACTTCAGTGAAATGCGTGCAGTGACCCCTGTCAAGACATCCTGAGATTAAATGAGTGGTTTAGGGAAGACATAGAAAAGAGCTTTAGCATATATTAGTAATCAGTAAATTTTCACCAATTCATACCTTTCAGAGCAAACATCCTTTGATCTGAACTTCTGTACCAGTAGTTGTCCACATTCCACAATTTGTCACTTAATTTCACGCTGCCACTCATTGTGTCACATCCATAGCAGATTGTGTTTGAAGTGAATGATTTCCATAGGGTTTTTTTTTTTTTTTTAGAAGAATCGAAGAGGATTACAAGTAATCTGGATGTGTCCTAGGCCTGTATCTATCTCTCTGTTGGTCTGTAGGGCTCAGAGGGTTGTCATTACAAACCATTCTCCTGAGGAGTCATGATGTCACCCTTTGGGTGAGGAAATGCCACAGAGAAAGCCAGAGGTCAGATCACAGGAAAGGGCAAGCCAGTTTTCATTCTTCCAAACATTAAAAAGGTTAGTTTGTGACCAAATGATGCAAATACATTAAATTGTTGCAGTTCTATACTCTTTAGATTTTCTTATGCAGATATTCATTCTCAGGGAATGGACTGCTGCTACTGACTAGTAGCATATTGAAACTTAAAATCGTGACAAAGACGGTAGAATCATCCTGTTGAATAGTTTATCTTTTATGTTGACTTATCTTCATCCTCTCAAAAGTGTAAGAATGTCTTTCTTGTGAGCAGAGCTTCATCTTTATAGATCCAGTCTTTTCCTCTTCCTGGTGCTATCTAGACAATTAGTCTCCAAGCTTACTTCCTAATACTTCAGATGCTCTTTGGGATCTTATTACCATCTCATGTCTTCCACAAGTGTCCCTTACACTTCATAATCATGGTGCTTGCTCATTTACAATATGCTCTTTAATGCTCTTTAAATACAAAGAGCAATCTCTTATCTTAGGGCTTAGTAGACTTTTTTTTTTTTTTCTCATGATGCTGGATCCCATCTTCAACCCCAGTCATTCTACATATAATATTACTCTTAATTGGAACTGCCCTAAAAATCCCCAGAATATTCTCAATAATATGAAATTGTTGGCTGTCTTCACAAGCAAGAGGACATAACAGTTATAAGCAATGTTTTGGAGTGTAAATGTATATAAGAATTATTAAATACCAGATCTTCATCCTGTGAGAAAAATCTTTTTCCAGATCTTTGTTATTAACAGAGAGATTTTCACCTTGCCCAGATAAATAGACCTTGTTTCCAGAGGTAGGAAGAGGAGATAAACTGGAAAAGCTACATAGATGTCTTCCAATTTAATAATTAAAAAAACAAAAAATAATAATAGTAATTTTTAAATTATGTGATTTCTGAGTTCTGAGATTATTAATAAGGTACTGATGTTGCCACGCAAATGCAAAACTTAAATTTTTACTAGCCAGTGTTAGAGGAAAAATTGAAATTGAAAAGGACAGTATCCTACATCCTGTAGTCTGGAGTTATTACTCTGTGTCCATAAATTTGTGAACCATAAATTACACTGCACCTTATTACTGCACACATGAAAAATACAATGGATTTCAGTAATGCACACCATGTTATTTATAATCCATTATACTCATAAGTAATTGAATTCAAAGCATAATTTTTAAAAGGAAATGAATCCTACCTGCTTATAGTCACACTAACCTAGAACATAAATACCTAGATTTATTGGCAGTAAGAAATTTGGTGCTTCCATCTGTTTGGAACAACCACAGACTTAGGCATCAATGAAGACAACCTGGAATTTGAGCATTGCAACCCCACCCCCCAACAAAAGAAGTGTTCGCTAAATAGAATCATGTCCTTAAAGAATTGGAATCCATCTCTCAGCTATAAATTCAACTGGCTTATAAGGACCTCCTCAGAATGGCTATGTTATTTTTTGTTTGTTTGTTTTATATTTTATTTATTTATTCATGAGAGACAGAGAGAGAGAGAGAGAGGCAGAGACACAGGCAGAG